CTCTTCCATTTAAATTGAGTTACTTGTTTCTTTCAAAACTATACAGTTTTAGAGACTAAGCATTAGTGAATAGGCATCACCAGTTTGGAATTGTACGATTCCGAACTTTGTTTATGAATCATTGTCAATTTGTGGTGACATGAAATCTCGGACACAATACGCGAAATCGCGCATGCACAGAACGGAAAATTCGGACAAGGCATTAAGTAATCCGCATACGCAGAACGATTGATTTCAATACTTCCGCTAAGCGCTTCGAGTGAAGCGTCAAACGCGGGCCTGTAATCTAACACGCGAGGACTGATTCATGACCAATGAAATCTGAGAAGTAGAAATACCGGTAGACGCTGTTGCTTGATTGACGATGTCAATCAAGAAAGGGAGGAGCTTGATGATATCGTTCTCTCCCAGTAAATTCCGATGTCAAATAACGACGTTATTTGGACGGGAAAACGATGGTTTGAAAACGTCCAATAACGTCGTTTTTCCGTCCAATGACCATATACGAAAAAACCCGACTTTTTCGTGTTTGCAGTGTGATCTAATTAAAGGTTTGGTATCGCTGTATGGGATCACAGATTTGTTGAGTGCTGCTTTTGCAGCAGCATCGGCCATTGTGTTCCCAGTGATTCCAACATGGCTGGGTAACCAACAAAAAACCGATGTCGTATTGGCCAGTAGCAAGTTCATTGAACAATTTAATAATTTCTATTCAAAGTGGATGTGCGGAAGACAGGTTTTTAATAGCTTGGAGGCAAGAAAGAGAGTCTGAAAAAATAACGAACTGTTTATGTATAGTTTGCTTTTGGATGTATGTTAGAGCTGTTAAAATAGCATTTGCTTCTGCTGTAAAAATAGAACAGTTATCTGGTACTCGGGATGAGATAGTCGTGGATCCAATGACAGTGCTCTGACGATGTTGATCAAATATGGCGTTTGGAGCCATGTAAGTGGGACAATACTTCGTAGGTTCTCTGTGTTGGTCCACATGTTTCTCATCAACTCGAGTTCACCAACGAATATGAGAAGGAAAGATGATCTGGACCTATAAGAGATTCAAGAGAGTAATCCAATTCGCTTGGGATGCGAGGTTTCCTATTACTCTTTCCAGAAGAGCTCGTTGATAAAGTTGATCGGTAAAACACCATCATGAAAAATGTCCCCACATGGGAACCAATAGCACAACACCCTCGTTGACGTCAAAGTTCTGGATTATATCTTTAAGAGCGGAAATTCGTGAATGGGAAAATGTATGTGCTTGGTGCAAAAAACCAAAAGGCCAAGCCTTAATTTCACGTTAAATTGATTGCTGGGTAAATTCATGTTTAGTTTACCCTGCGCACCACAATGTAGAAACTTTTCAGAGTAAGGGGTTAGTAGATTCATGACAAGATGGTGCTTGTGCATGCGTCATTAACCGATTATTATTTGTTTCAAACGTGTACCTTCATCTTAACTGTCGCCAGTATCCGACCTGTGATGATATGACAACCTGTCGCAATGCATCTTCCCGAGGCAAGAGAGTTAACTGACTTCAAAAGTGGAAACTGGACTTTTATAGTCAGTTAACTCCCTTGCTTCGGGAAGATGGTCGAAATGTGGTTAACTGTCAACTCAGAAAATATTAGTTAATTTTCGATACGCATTAAGTTATCTGCTAATAAAAACGAAAGTCTTGGAAACTGTGATGCTGAGGAAATGTTTCAAATACAGAAGTATTTCCCTCATTGGACTTTTCAGTTTTGGATGAAATCGAGCGTACAGGTGCTATTGGGAATTGAGTTGAAGAACTTGATCTAAAAATAACTTTTGGGGTTAAATGGGGTTTGAATGCAGTTACAACTCTTAAAATTTGATATATCTTCTTGGTATGTTGACACAATAACTTATTTATTGATACATTGACTGACAACTTAATTCCACTGTAATAATGTAAGTGGATTGGAATTTTGGGTCTTATTCCAATTTTTACAACTGGATATTTTCCATCCGAATGGACAAATGGACTAATAAAACCAGTTAAAGAAAACGTGGCAATGATGGGATAATGACACTTGTCTTGATTGATCTAATTGTTAGGTATGACAAACTTCAGAACTTTAAGTAGATCTGAATCTGAGAGTCACGGAGCTTTGCTCCACGGTGTCATTGAACAAGAATAAGTAATAATGAAAACGTGGTAATAGGTTCACAAGTTTATTACTTGCAGCTAATTATATCCATATACGACAATATAAAAGATCAAAAACCCAATTTACATTGACAATGATCACTGATTAATTGATTCAGAGCAAATTCAAAAGCTGATTAGCAAAGCAACTGTATGACAGTAATACAATGAGAGTAGCATAACAACACTTTGGCAAGATATTGACAAGATGCATGGACAGCAAATTAAGTCGGTTGAGACCTATTAACACCTGAGTTACTTTACTCAACACTCCAATGAGTGAATAACCTCGGCTGGGTTAAATAGAGGGAAATAAACACAGAGGGCCTGTCCCTTTAATAAGTCTCTAAGACGTAAAAAATGTTATATTTGGAATAAAACTTGGTAAAGTACAAATGCTAGTACCATCCGGGATTCGAACCCAAACTCACAGAGTGGGCCACCTAATCGGTATTGTGTGTTCAAGTCTTTCAGACAATTCAATAGGCGAAAGACACCTGAAAAGCAAACTAGTCTTATAGACGAAAAACCCAGTTACTTTTACTGGGCAAGGAAATTCTAAAATCCTCAGAACAATTTGAAGCATAATAGAGCATATGGAACACCTGCCATCGTTTGGTAATAGTCAAGTCCCACTGATTTACACAATCTGAATTACAAATAAATGAGATCAGTACACCCTCCTCGTCTGTTTCATATTTACATCTCTGCATAACTATTCAGAGGGACAAAACTCTTCACGAGACTGCATGACGACAAATGACTTCAAATTTCCAATTGTCAACTTTCTCTTTTTAAGAAAACGTACAATTTTGTGGTTACAGTTAACCTTCCCAACATGTCAAAGCAATATTCCAGCAGCTCCAAGTTCGAGGTTCAATCGAGCAAGCTCTTTCTACAAAGATTTCCTAAAGGGCGTCCTATGAGTTTTGCTCAAAAGTTGTTTGTACAAGGTTAAACATTTTGGGCCCTAGCAAAGCTTTCAAAAAGTTTTATGGTAGGCATATTTTTCACTTGTGCCATATGTACCCGTGATCCTTTTTAGGTGAACAATTGGCTTTTGTGAGGGGTGCCACCTTCTTGGCGGGATACGCTCATCTCTCCGCGACCACCTGTCATTGTCTCCTCACTATTGGACAGGAATTCATAAACACATGCTTACGATATAGTCATCATGGGAATGAGCTCTCAATGATTTCTCATGGTTATGGAAATAGGTTTTGTCGCTTTTTATTTAAAAGATCTTGTAAACTGGGCAATGCATTTTTTTTTATATCCAAATCCCCGTTGCGTTGCCATGGCTTCTTTTGTTCTGATCATAAATTATAAATTCACTTACACACGTTTGTGAGTAAAACACCAACACATTTCTCTCAATCTCATGTTAAGATACTTTATCTTACTGGTTTCTTACGTAACTGGTTTCCATAATTAAATTTGAAGTAAAGAAATTATTTATATGTTCTCTCTCCCGTGGGCGCCTTATCTGAATCGTCTGGTTATTGTCAATACAATGGTGTTATTAACAAGCATGTGGAAACATAACCTTAAATGGAAATACCACCCGTGAAGATCTGGGGTAGAATATTTCTTCAGCAACCAATGCTTGCCGTAAAAGGCGACTATGCTTGTAGTAAGAGGTGACCAATGACGTGGACTGTTGCTTGCAATAACAATCAATGATTTGTCTGGGTCAGACTCGATTGTTAATAAGCCGCCGTCATATAGCTGGAGTGCGATGTTAAATAAATAAACAAACAATTTGATGAGTATGTCCTATGGTTAAAGAATACAATGTTATACTATACTGAACCAAATTAAAAACTTCACAATCCTAAGATTTTAACATTTTGACCAGTTACCATTGTGGGCCCTTATTGCGTATTTAAACAGTAATGGCCAAGTATTGTCTTCAGATAACACCCGTTTTTGTGCAGGTGATTCGATCAAAATCATGTGCACAGCACTATAGTGGCAATAGTGTTTTCAGCCATACTTGTTAGCAGTCATTACATAAAAAAGAAAAACACAAGAAAACAAAAGTCTTTACGGCCATTTGTCATGCCACGCCTTTCAAATGTGCAACGTGAACGTGCCATCGGCATGTTGCAGACGGGAACGTCCGTAGCTGAAGTCGCAAGGACGATGGGTTGTAGTCGACGGACTGTTTATGATTTACAGACGCGTCTACAGCAAACGGGTACCACCGCTGATCGCCCTCGGCCAGGTCGACCACGTGTGCAGAGGATCGTCAGATTGTCTTACGTCACCTCCGTAACCGATTTTTGACGGCTACATCAACCAGAAATGAACTGTTTAGGGGTAGACTGAGTGCGCAAACTGTTCGTAACCGTCAGAGAACTGCTCATCTTCAAGCACGACTCAATTACACAGACGTCAACGTCAATTGTGGGCACAGCGACACTTACGATGGACTCAGAGGAATTGGAATCAAGTCGTCTTCAGTGATGAATCCCGATTTAATCTTCGATTTGCTGATTGTAGGGCGAGGGTGTGGAGGCGCCGTCATGAACGTTACGCCCAGTGTTGTGTACAGGAGGTTGACAGATTTCGAGGCGGAAGTGTCATGGTGTGGGGTGCTTGCTGTGGCAATGCACGTTCCAGGCTTCTTGTAATCCGTGGCAACCTCAACGCTGCTTTTATGGCAGCACATGGACCCGGTTTGATCTTCCAACACGACAATGCCAGACCCCTCACAGCAATTTTGACAAGGTTTTTCCTTCAGAATGCGGGAGTCAACGTCATGGACTGGCCGTCAAGGTCTCCCGACCTCAATCCCATCGAACACATCTGGGATGCTCTTGGCAGAAGTCTGCGCACTCTCCAGAACCAACCACAGAATTTGCAAGATCTTGGCACCTTTTTGCAGCAACAATGGCGTCGTCTTCCCAATCATGTGTTCACAAGCATCACAAGCATCACAAGGTTCATGTTCACAGTTGCTAACCGAGTTTCGTTATTGTTTACGCTATATAAATTTCTTTTGGAAGTTTAAATCTAAGAAGAGAAACTTCAGCAGCTTCTTTCCGATAAATGTCTGAATCATCGCCACCAATCCTGCACGTAAACCCCTGGCGGCATCAAAGCTTCCTTGCCTGCATCATCTTTTGAGGGCTCTTCATGATCAATGACAACGAAAACCACGAGTATTCACCAGCTCGCTACATCTGCTCAAACCAACCGGAAGACCCGGGTTCGATTCCCGACACGGGTACAATGTGTGAAGCTCATTTGCCGTGATATTGCTGGAATATTGCTAAAAGCGGCGTAAAACCATACTCACTCACTCACTCAAACCAACCGGACAAGAATGTTCACCTCTAACCCACTCAAATTGTATCGATTCATTATATAACATGTAATGCGACTTTTCTATTATCTTAAACATTAGACAACTCTTTTTGTGAAAACAAAATGACAAAGAACTACAAGCTCAAATTACACATCCTTTACAATGATACATAGACATACGCTGGTCGTACTCATCCAGCCAATCTATTGAATGCTCTCGCCATATCTAATCATTAGTACAAACATTTCTGTAACGACTGGATCCTGTGATCCTTAATCGATCGCTCATGTATGATGTATACCCATTCTGCACATTATACTATGCTTTTTTATCAAGATTGTCCTCGAACCAAGAAATGAGAACCAAAGATATTTTTGATACCATACACAGCAGCATGGCTAGATATCTTTGGCTATAACATCAAAGGGGATCTCTTCATTCGTCGACTGGTACTGCTGGAAAATATATCAAGCAAACTTTGCATTTGAGATGATTCAATGATTTCAAGTGTAAGCCAGCAAAGGTAACATGAGAAAAAATTAAACAGTTTAATGCATCGACTAATTTATCATTCACTTCCCGCCTGTTTTTCAATGTGTCTGCTGAGACCATATCTAAGTTAGAGTTGATGTGTCAATCTACTTCTATTATATACCTGTTCTGGTTGTGTATTGCAGCGAAACACCTTCAGAACCTTCTCAGGCAGACATGGGCATAGTTCGTCCAGAATTGATCGGCTGTACTGGGAAGATGCAGGAGTTTCGGGAGAAAACCGTCCTGGAAAACAATACATAGGCACTGTTATCAGATTTGTCAGGATGGAATTGCGTGCTTCATCTTCACGTTAAATAATTCTATCAGCTTTTTCCCTGATAAATCATCCGATAAATGCTTGTGCAAGGCAATGCACATGTTGTCAACTGAGGTTGCACTTTCATTTGTGTAAGGTGTATGGGGCCCATGAATTTGTAAGTATGAAGAATTTATATAAGGAAAACACTGTGTGAGTCGTTCATAGCAATTTTGTATCAAATGTCAATGTTCTAAAATGGAAAATTTCATATGTACAACAGCTACAAATGTAGCTGTGTTAAAATGCGGAAAATGTCTTGGTTTTTACTCATTCCTTGAGCTTTAGTCACAGAGTGTAACTTTTCTTATTTCGTTTTGTTATAGCTTGTCAGTGAAATTATTGACGAAAACTGCCATTTTAATCTCGCTATCAAGTTTCAAGCAAGCAGTGTTTATCTACCGCATTTCTAGTGTAGAATAAAACTAGTCACGACAAGAGTACAGGATTGTTTTAATGCCCAAAGATTATGATCTACATCCACACATTCCCTTAACAGTTAAATGTAAGATTCTGATTATTCGTATTTATAAATCACTTTCAAATAGTGATGAAAACAAGTGTTCATGAAAAGGTGAGCATATCCTGCCGCACTGTCACAAATCCTTGCAAAGACAAGTCAATTGTTCACCATACACCAATCACGCGGATGTATGGTACAACCCTAAGTAGGGAATTGCATTAGCCATGATGTTTGTCACTGATGGGTCATACTTGGGATGTCCTTATTTTTGTCATTATGAATCCTAAGGTATAGATCTAAAAATGAAACAGATGATGTTATTTCAATGACCATTCTAGTTCAGATGGGTAAATCAGCTTAAGGGAATTTGCTATTTGACCATTAATGAACGATGTCAGATCGTTATTATACCTAAAGGTTACGTTACACTTCTTGGCCAAATTTCCGTGCTCAGATGTACCAATCTGAGCAGACATTCTGATTCATATGCATAAAGAAACATTTCAAATCCTATCCCCAAATTTCACATATTGTTAACTCCGTAAAAGAATTTATTTGTCTATGGTCACCACTTTCAGTGACAGATTTCCCTATAAAGTGTGTCGACTGAACTAATGAAGTTGAAGACATAATTGCAAACACTCGGGTAAATCGTTTGATGTTTTCAGGATCAATATGGTATTAATTCTACTTTACACAAATGCTACACCACAAAGGTATTAAGGTTAGGATCACTGTGACATGTATTTATTGCTACCTAGCAATATACATGTATCTCTATTTGCAGGGATTTTTATTGAGTATTGGAATCCAGAACAAACGAGGAATGATATGGCTTTAGGTTTTAGAGTCGGTCTAAGGTAACGGATACGTGGCTTTGTCAGATTTCACTCTCAGTTAACATAGTGACACTGTATGTGGCAAGTTCTTTGATAAAAGAATTAATCTTGTGATATTTTTTATATGATGGTTATGTTAGGTGATGCCTTATCAGAGTGGACAACTACAAACTGTTCACGTAACTATAGCGGAGCCAGAGTTTTTATGAGAGCCGCCTGGGACAGAACATATTTATTCTAAATCTGTTTCGTCTTTTTCAGTTTGTGCATTCTCCCACACAATTACCACATCAAGGTCTGGCGTAACTCACTTTGACATTATTTAATATGTTCATCCCCTCTATCACTGGGGATATTTGGACATATGGCTGAAAAGCATCCATTGTGATTCCAACAGCAGGCTTTCAAAATATTTTAGCCCATATTTGAATAACTGACGAAGATAGTTATTGTCATGGACATACATGTAGGAGACACCTGTGATTATATATGATCAACCTGTTAGTTGCATTACGAGTCTTGACAGCCACAAGTAGAGGAATTTACATGGTGAGCTGCCAAATCCGCGTTCTGCAACACGTTCCCATTATTGGCAACTTGGACGAAACGGTGTTCTATAGAAGAATGAAACTCTTCGATTTCAACTGAAACTATTAGGACTTTACCTTTGTCTTTACATGTTATGAATACATACATGTATATACAATATTTGTGTGTAGTCATAAATAAAACACCCCACGTGGCCCATGGAACGAAACTAATTTCTTCTGTCCAAATTGCACATTGATCAACAGTTCCAATTGTTAAGAATTTCCGCCAGTATGTAGAAGAGGTCACTTTACTTTATGGCATCCCGATTGAAAAGTGATTGAAGACATAGTAGCGTTGCTTTTCTGTGATGCCTCATAGCTATATAGAGAGAAGGTGATTCCTAAACACATGATTATGATATAGTCGGAATCATACAATGAACACAAATTTGTTCTGATTGTAAAGGTTTTTTTGCTGATTTAATTTACACTCCTTTAGTCAAAGAGTTTACTGTATTTGGGATTAGTTATTTGTAAGAAATTGATGTTTTTAGTTAATGTAATCTCTATTGTTACATTTCAAGATTAAAACCTCGTGTAAATGCGTTTGTATATCTGTGATCAAGAATGCAATTAGGCAACCAAACATACATACGTGAAAGGAGACTCACAACGATCCCAACGAAGACCACGACAATCATACCCGTGGCAGAATAGTAGATGTATGACAAATCATAAATTGATAAGTAGCCCCTGAAAATAGACAAATTCAAATATTTGACTGTCAGATACTGAAAGAGGACCCCATGTTTATCGGGATTCAATGCTATCGATGGCATTTGTCAAGCATTATCTAAATGAAACAGAGCCTGTGGTATGTCCAATATTCAATATTGTGAAACACAGCTTAAGGCGTTTTACTACCAAAACCTAACATCGCATACTTTGGTGCTACTTCTTCATCAGCATGGCCATCATCGTTAGTGAAGTTGTGAGCAGTGTGCAGTCCTGTATAATTGACACCAATTATGTCCCAGTTGCAGCCGTTGACAAACGTACTGGATACTTGCGTTGATACACCGTTGAGGTACGCACCGATACCAATCCATAGCATAAGTATTAAAGAAGTGAAATATCCAGCGGTAGCACCCTGAAACAGAGAAAATGATGTCGTTTGTTCTCGTAGACATTAATGCAACATGCATCAAATGTCCGTATCGCAATTGTTATATCCTTTATACCTTTCAAGTTGATAACATGTTATTATTATGAAGACCCCAGCAAATGAATAATTTAGTAACACCATTTAAATGGTGTTGCATTAGGTTTTTTCTGAATATGACCGCCAACGGCACCCCTGCATTTTTAAATCCGTGTAACGCTTGGAAAACTCAGCAAAAATGTAGTACATGCAAAGGTTGCGATTTGAAAGACTGTGACATTCCCCATCAGACCAGGTTCACAGTGAATATGTTACTTGTGCAGATTCCCTGCATGTTATATGATTTAGATAATAATGCCTGACAACGCGACACACCTAGGAGTTGATAACCGATTATTAACAGTTTTGGTGCCGTCAAGTTCCCAAGTACCGAAGGTAGGAAACATTGCACCCTAACTTGTGTCATCCACAGTAGATAATGTTATGTTCTCGGATGAACGTTGTTTCTGCATTTCATATGCTAACGGCAAAGTTTGAATATGGTTTAAATATAAGCCATATGACGCTGACGTCATTCGCTCACGAATATGTGATGGAAAGAGATGGACTGGATGGTGCTAGTCTGATGACATGGGCTGTCAACTGTCAATGGTCGGAATCAAAGTCTTGGTCCAGACATGATATACAATATTGATCCAGGACGTGGACATGGAGCAATGTCGCAACCCAATATCCACATTTCCCATGTCTGTTTGCCATTGATATAATCCACTTGCATCATTTCTTGAAAATACATAATTCGACATTTTGTTTCTTGCGTTTCTTTTGTGGTTCCGAATAAACTATATACCTTAATATATTGAAATGTATACAGGGGAAGGCCTCACGCTTTTGTTACTTGTACCTAATCCATTTGCAATAAAATAAGTGGATACCTGTCACTCAGATTGAAGGTCAAACTACTCTCAAGGCCAAAAATGTATTATGTTCGAGATAAATGAAGAAGTGTTCATTATCGTAGGATGAAATTTGATACATTTAATCCCAAAGGTGGGGCATGCAATTGATGCTATTTTTAATGGCCTTCATTTAAGGTCATGGTCATGGGAATGGTTATCCTTATAGTAGTTCTGCTTCCATGTGTGCACCCCTTTTCGCAATTAGAAATAATCAAGCATTTGATACAAGCATACAACTTATTGAGGGTATCAATAATGTTTTGCGACGTCGATTTTCAACTGGTCATCATTGTGTCGCAATTTGCATATGGTATATAAGGAACATCACAATGTCTGTCGTTACAATTACAAAGTATCATTAGAATGTCTAAGACACGATAACGATGATACTATAAGAGACGATGATACTTACAACAGAATTTGCGCAAGGGCAAAACATCCCAAGGACAAAAAGGCCAAACAGTGGACCGTCCAAAATGCTAGTTACTGCGTAACCAATCTGGAGAAAGAATGTGTTTACACTTTAATTAGATTTAGAATTAAGAAAGATAATTCTGTCAAATTGTTCGTACAAATCCATTAAATAATCTTTACGTTGACAACATATCGATTAAGAAATAAAACATAATTTGTAAAATGAGTGAGTGAGTTAGCTTGATTTTACGTCACTTTCAGCAATATCTCGGTGGGTGACACCAGAAATGGGCTTCGAACAGGGTCTTCGGCCTGACGAGCGAACGCTGTAACTACTAGGCTACTCGACCGCCCCTAATTAGTAAAACACTTGAACATTATATAATATAATGTGTCTGTTGTTGTTTTGTGTCAATAACAATGTTTTCGTACCTGAAGAATATTTCCCAAAGATGAAACAACGTACGCCAAAGCCAGACTCAAGGCTCCAAAAAGGATCACTGTAATAAATTGTAAATCTTGTAAGACAGTTGTGCGTCCATAGGTTATGTGAGATGCATGTGTTGCACGCTGCTTTGAACAGTAGTTAAGTGAAAATAGACGTTTTCACCATGGTATGATATAATGCTCAAACACCAGGATTCATGAAAACCATGGATCAAGACCCGCAATCAATGAATACAGCAATTATGAACGTTACACAATGGCATCTTAGAACGCTGGGACACGACGTGAAAGTACGTCGCTACGTGTGTGTATTTAACATTATTCTCACCAAGACATTTTGAGAGGACAGTGGCCCGGAAATCGGTGATGGTGATGCAGCAGTAGGGCCGGATGTAGTCCTCCAACATGACTGCAGCAACGGCGTTTAGACCCGACGACAGCGTGCTATAAAACATTGGAAGCTCTCGGATGTCACGTTCGAATGAAAACTGCTTAGAAGGATATTAGCTACAGGGCATTAAAAATAAGGTAGCGCATGAATTGAAAACAATCCATTTAGTCGCCTCTGTTAAACAGGACCTACATATATATTCCTACCCACAATCCACAAGCCCCATGATCGCACGGCGCAAGGAGCCGTGCCTTAATTTGTTATGGGTTTGAGAAAATCACATTGGGACATGGGGATGAGTAATCGTTGGAAAAAGATTTAATCTGTGTCTCCCATATGTATACGATATAAATAGTTAGTTATGAAACTATTTTTCAAAACATTCCTAACTGAAACTTATTACAGTAAACAATATTACGTTATTCGGCAACAATCATGAGAGGGAGAGCCCTATCTTAGACAGGTTTACCTGCCCTAGTGCGCTTGCGCTCAACGCTTGCAGCCGCGAGGATGCCAAGGATAGGGTACTAGTCTAACTCCATACAACCTAATTTCCCATACAGCATTTCGCTGCGCTGAAACGTTGACCCACTTCCGTAAAGCAGGTCTGTCTGTCGAGAGGACTGAGACAGGTGTACAGCACCGTTGATACAGTTTCCGTGAAAAGCGAGATATTAGCACTTTGGACAGTATGAATATTTACTGTTGATGCTACAGGATTAAATATATAGTAATCATTAGGGAGGTAACTCTCATAGAAAAGTGTGGTTCATGGTTAAAAATAACAAACGCACTCACCACGTTGTGGGTTTCAATTTTAGCACTTTCTGCATACCACTATGATTGTGTCAACGTAATACCCCATGTTTCTTGAAAACAATAACAAATGTTACATTTATATATTTAATCGAACGTTCTCTTTATTTTGATTATTTGTTTATTTTCTCGAAATTGCGAGTTTTATCTTGTTATTTCGATTATATTTTCGTAATTTCAATTATTTTCTCGTTAGTTCTCGTTTATTCACAAAATTTTCTATTTTCTCATAATTTATTTAGTTTAAAGTTTATTTAAGAAACTCGAAATTTCAATTTTTTCCGCGTTACAACGATTATTTACCTGTTATTTCAAGTACATTACAAATAATAAAACGGTCGAAGTCAAGAGAAAGAACTCGAAATTTCGAGAGAATAATTCAAATAAAAATAAATTGTGCTACCAAAGTGGCACATTCGGCTTTCGTCCTTGACAAACATCTCTTAGATGAGCATGAAAACTTTCATTCCTGTAACTTCAGTAGTTTCTGTGAACACGTTTGACCCCATATCATGCATTATACACTAAGTTGAAAACCACTGAGCAAGGGCCATAACTCTGTAAAAGATGAAATTCAGACACCACTTTTTTTTAACTCAATTGAGATCGTGACCTGTAATATCTGTGAGTAAAATTTCATTTCTCTAAGGTAAATTGTTATTGAGAAAACTCAAACAGTATGCACTAAGTTGAAAAGCATAGCATTGGAGTAAGGGCCATAACTCTGTAAACAATGAATTTCAGACATCAATTTTTTATCAATTGAGATCATGACCAGTAACATCAGTGATTTAAATTTCATATGTCTAACTTAAATAGCGTTTCATCAAATTTGTCCCCATTGAGAATCGGGCAGTCACCTGGTGGCGGGGATAATAATCAGGGCTAATATCCAATGAATTTAATCAGAGCGAATTCAGATGCCTCAGAAAATGGGCCTCCCTTCTCCTCTCAGTAGTATGCAATCAGCACTAAGTCACTCAAACCAGTTGAAAGCTTCATCTTCTATGTTGCACAATTTTCGCACAAAAGGAGTCAGTGGAAATTTCTCATACACTACCTTAAACTCCCGCTGAAAATGCATGCTAGAAAAATGCCTGGTAGAGCAGGGGTGGTTGCAAATATGTCCATTGCAAACAGTGGAAGTAACTGAAATGAAAATGTTTACACACTTGCAAGAAATCTGAACAATAGGTGAGTTCAAATGCTAATTTAGTTAAGTATGGGCCGCGAAATATTGCGTTTCGGGTCCAAGATTATTTATACTACGTGTGTCAAAATATTCATAATATTTAAAAGATGCGACATTCTATCTCGCCGCCGCTTTTACCAAAGTGTTCGCGGTTTTTGTCTTCGGTAGATTTAGGACATTAACGTTCTGTGATTTCGAACGTAGATTCAAAGACACAATGACAAAATACATGTGAACTCTTTGGTAAAAACGGATGTGACTAGGGATGTGAGGTCGGTGGAGCCCAATGTTATCAGAAGGCTGTGACGGCGAATTCAGGTATCAGTGAAGATAGGTTTTCTTTCATATACCAAAACTATATCTTTCACCGTTATGCTTATTCCAGCAGACATCATGTGAGCATTTCGCAAACTGTCATCTCTACATAAAATGAGGGGACCCTTTGAATGATCAGGTCAAAAGAAAAAAAGAAGTTAGCAAACTTTACAAATTGTTTCTGTCAGTGTGCTGTGTTGCTATGAATATATATATTTGTAAATAGAATATGCAGTATTTGGCGTTGTTTATAGAGAAATCATTATTGATTGTAATCATGTACATGTTATACTATCATACATTATATGACTTTGCAATTTGTCGTCTTATTCTAAACCGTGAATACGATTATTGAGGAATGTCCATTTAGTAATAATTCAACATCGCCAAGACATTAGCCGGAACACAATTAAGAAAACCTTCCCAAATCATACCAAATCATCCATTGTACGATTCCGATTATATCAGGACGATTCATTTATAATTTTCTGGTAATCGACTTACCCACTGTTTTACTTGCGACCTACAGTGTAACATGTAACTATATGAGATAAAATAGTCTCCAAGACATATTTCCGGTTGTACACGAAGTGCCGCTCTTTGTGACCTATACATTGTGAATAAACTAACATTACAACCAAGCTCATCAGCATTATTCAATATTTAATATAACATTGTGAATTCTCATTTATGGTGAGATGTGTGGACTGGTCGGCAGATATTATTCTACCCATTTTTATAATTAGCTGACTGCGATGCCCCATTCGAATGCGACGGAGCTTTGATTGAAATTTAGTTATGAATACGTATATCTCGATATTATATTTATCCATTGCTGATTTAAAATAAGTCATTTATTTTGTTATGTCACTATTCCATATCCAAAGTCCATATTTTACGAAGGATGGAGACGGCTGGTCGATATCAATAGGTCCCAACTAAATCTTCAAAAACTTAATCCGTGATATGTACGTTCAGAGTTAATATGTATATACAGTTGTGTCGGCGTTTTCTGTTCTCTCCTCTACAGCTGTGGGACATTTTGTCTTTAACTGAGCCGTGTACATACGGAGTAACACTTATACACCAGAACAATCGCAGTCATGGCCACCATCTACAAGTAACATCAATAATTTTGTACCTGTTTTATTGAAACGTATTACAATAATTATAAACGACAACAAATATACATGTCTGGTATTAAAACTGAAATTTCTACATAAACAGAACCATCGAAGTATAAACCGACAATCATATATCAAAATAGTTTCAACCTGTTGCATATCTCACCTGATCAGAACTAGATATGAGGTCATTGAACTTTAATGGGTCACAGTCCTTGTAGAATGCGTGTATGAGCACCCCTATCAGTATGCACAAAGTCACAATGACTACAAGGCCTACAGAACTCAACCACAGCGCCCTGTAATAAACAGAAACATCGAAATTATTGTCCAAATGCCTGATTTCCTCCTGAAAACAGACACAGTTGTATAACATATTCAAGGTTACAAATAGAGAATCTCACCCTCGTGTCATTTGATAGCAAATATATCAACGAGTGTTGATATATTTGATATCAAAAGACACGATGTGAGATTATATTTATCATCCAACATCATTCTTCCAACTTTTTCAATTTGCTGACAGTAACACTCAGTGTCTTCGTGTAAAAAGTACTGCTAACAGCTTCAGTAATAGAGACATTAGTGATTTCCTTTGATTGTGACGTCATGGTAACAATGACGTCACAATGGCCTAGAAAGCCTTGTGATGCAATTACATTGCCGCGATATCTACAATGTAGATATCGCTTGATCTCACCCAAGCGATATATCCTGTTGGAGCCAGTTTTGTATAATAAGTTTGTTTCAAAGCTTTAACATATTAAAGAAAAACGATCTTTTCCAGACGATTGATATAATTCGGACGTCTGTGTACATGTATATACAATTCATTTTGTGAAATACCCGTGAATCGCTAATCCCACTTTTAATCTGGAAATGGTACCTTCCAAGAAAACGGAACATCTCGTCAAATGAAGAACACACAAGGACCGATAACACACTGTCTCTGACAAAATCTTAATATAGTATTACTTATTTATGTATTGATCTATGTAAAACCAAAATATAATTCTTCACTGTACTGAGGTCGCCTTACATTTTTTAAAATCGATTATCACGGATGAAATCTCGAATCCTTTCGTTATCCGATCGACATCAGTAGTTGATGGCCCCACTATGGAACCGCTCCTGGCTTCTGATTGGTCGATTCAGTGATGACGTCACTTCTGGTTCCGGATTGGTCACGAGACTGCGCATGCGCGAAGTGTGCATCTTGGGTCATGCGTGCGCATCCAAGATGGCGACACTTCCGGTTCCGGTGTCGCACGCATTAAAGGTGGCGACACTTCAGTTTCCGGTTGCGCCCGCACCTCCAAGAGGGTGGCACATCCGTTTCCGGGGAGGAACTGAACGAAAGAACGCTTTCATCCTTTGCTTTTCCAACACAAACAACAATCCAAAAGAACCCACACCCTCCCCGTCATCTTTGAAGTACACGCCTACGAGTGACACCACGCCTCTATGTATGTTTGTATGTATGTTCGTATGTATGTATGTATGTATGTATGTATGTGTACACGAGTGGCATCACGTTTGCATGGAGACACGAATCAAACACCACGTATGTCTATCGATCAGTAACGTCTGTTTGAAGGCACGCATGACACTACGTATGCATAGAGACACGCGTGGCACCACGAAGTATATCACGTTTGCATGGAGACACGAAGTACATCAGGTTTGCATGGAGACACCCGTGACAGTACGCATGTTAACATACACGTGTGCCAACTCCTCGGCAGGGATGAGCGAGTGACAACGTCGTAATCATATGGATAAACGTATGTTTGAATACACGCGTGGCACCACGTTTACATAGAGAGACGTAGTACATCACGTTTGCATGGAGACACGTAGTACACCATGTGTGTTTGAAGACACGAAGTACACCACGTCTGTTTGAAGACACGCGTGACAGTACGCATGTAGGCATACACGAGTGCCAACTCCTCGGCGTGGATGAACGAGTGACAACGACATAATCATATGGATAAACGTCTGTTTGTAGTCACGCGTGGCACCACCTTTGCATGGAGACACGAAATACATGACGTAGGCATACCTACATCACGTTCATGTCTGTGCATGTCGATTCACCTTTAGAATTCAGGCGTCCGTTCCGCAACATGATCGTAGCGCTAAGGTGATCGCCACTCACCTACTTTAACTTAGACGGACGACTGTCATTGCGCTACAATACGATCGCCTTGTGGAACGAGACCTTGCACCTCAAAGTTTACAGTCACATCATCATACCCGATGACATGATTTGTGAATTTTGTTGCAAGATCCTTCGCCGATGTGACGTCAACCTAGCAACAAAGTTGCTGGGTCATCGACTGTGTATAAGCTCGTCTCAGTGATCTATCATCTCCACACGCAATCGCCACACCAGTAAGTGTCCTTTCAGGAGACAGGTGTCAGGCCATCCGTGCCTTTGTAGCACAGCCCCTTTGTGGGCGAGGGAGTAATTAATCTACTTCTTCTCCAAAACGGCCCTTTTCAGGGACACCCATCTCTCCCGAAAGAACGCTTTTCATCCTTTGCTTTTTGACAACCCACAAACCAAAATAAAGAACCCACCTCCTCCTCCCTCCCTCCCTCCCTCCCTCCCTCCACGAACACCACCACCACCACCACCTCCATCACAACCACCACTACTTCTTCTTCTTTTAAAAAAAAAAGAAAAAAATGAACATCAAGGATTTTACGTATGCTTCTTTTTATTTTGATATTTTCATATTGTACGAGCGCTTCTTAGGGTCGACTCCTCCCCGGAAACGGATGTGCCGCCCTCTTCGAGGTGCGCGCGCAAACGGAAACGGAAGAGTCGCCATCTTGGATGCGCACGCATGACCCACAATGCGCAGTCACGTGAACAAACCGAAACCGGAAGTGACGTCATCACAGAAACGACCAATCAGAAGCCAGGAGCGGTTCCATAGTTGGGCCTTCAGTTACTAACATCGATCTGACCGAATATCGCGTTTTCATCACAAGGGTCATAACTCGTGTTCTACACGGAGTGACGGCGTCAGAGTCGAGCCAAGACAAGTAAATTTGGAATGGCATGAGTGAAAACAAGGCTTTGATATAGGCTAGTGGACGACCTTGCCTCTGGATGATGACTGATTCCTGGGTGGACGTTTTATATTTACAAATGCAACAGTCCTATGAAAGGATATCCTGGAGTGTGATACTTACGTTTTCGCCTTTCTGAGGGTAGGACAGGACATGAGTCTCTGTATCTGCACTTGGTTAACCCCTAGATAGGACATCCACATGATTCCTCCACCCACAACCAAAGACCACACCGAATGCCGCACCCCCGGGCTGGGGTTGAAACTAAATCGGAGGCATAATATAGATCAGTTACAACGTTACTGTGTCTGTTACAAAAGAAGAGCATTTACCATGTTCAAAATAAACTGACGGCCAAAGGAAACGTTACCAACGATATTTCTAGAATACAATATGACCAACACAATTTGAAGCAGCAATAACAATTGTATTGTAGAAATTCATCCGTCAGAACAGTAAAATGCGAATTTACTAATTAAACAACAAAGTCCTTGACCTCCAACAGGGACATTTCTTGACAAGGGGTCATTCGTCCAGTATTCGATCAACAACATTGGCTACAACGTTAAGGTGACGACGGCCCAGGCCAGACCGTTCAATACGGGATATCACCTCCATGAGCGGCAATGCATCTTCGAATGTGGCGTCGAACTGAGTAGACAAGCGTCCTCACATCGACTGCAGGTATCCGATTACATTCCTCACGTAGGGCAACGATCAACGCTTGTCTCGTGATGGGAGGATATTGACGTTTCCGAAGACGACGCCCCAGCTGGTCCCAGAGTGACAGATCTGTTGATCGAGCTGGCCACGGCGGGACAGTCACGTTGTTGGCGTTGAGGAAGTCTCTAGTAATACGGGCTTTATGGGGTGTGGCCTTATCTTGTTGGAACACCGTTCGTTGTTGACGCTGGATGAAAGGAAGAACCACTGGCCGTAAGATATTGTAGCGTTGTGGTGTCAGATTGCCTTCGATGATGACAAGTTCCGTCTTCTCGTCCCCGCAAATGCCGCCCCAGACCATCACACCTCGGCCCCCGTAAGGTTCCACCTCCTGGACACAACAAGGAGCCGTACGTTCCCCACGTCGTCGATAAACTCGCGTCCGCCCATCGGGTTTGAAGAGTTGGAACCTGCTCTCGTCACTAAACAGCATTCGCCGCCATTCCCTTTGCCATGCCATCGCTGAGTTTGTCTGCACCACGTCAATCTGGCACGTCGATGTTGACGGGTCAAGGTCATGCCCTTGAAAGGGCGATAAGCCCGGAGACAATAATGTCGTAGTCGTCTGGTCACTGTTTGTCTGCTGACCGGATGTCCTAAGCTGTTGGCAGCTGATGACGTCACAGTAAGAAATCTGTTCCTCAGATGAAGTATCCGTAAAAAGCGGTCATCCTGCGGGCTCTCTCCCTCTGGACAGCGGTCAGTCTTGGCATCTTCGTTGGTGTTAATCATCGCAACCAATGATAGGGAACAGATCCGTGCGTAATTTATATCCGGAAATTGCACGGTAATTTGGGAAAGAATGTTTTAAAAAATTGCTGAAAAACACTAATATCTCCCAAAACAGCAAAACACGTGCACAGAACGACAGAGAACATGAAGGCTGTATTCGTGAGATGTGTTCTTTACTGTTTTTGAACAGGTTGGCATCTTTGTTTCAAAGTGGCATATCAGTTAATGTTGGTAACGTTTCTTTTGGCCCTCAGTTTATTTAAGAATCAATTTTCTCTGTGTTTACACAATCTGAGACATCAAGCCCAGAACATATAATTAACAAGAGTATCTGGAGTTGAAACTTTGTTTTTTTTACACACAATATCCACGAGAAGGTGATGTTGAAATATATGGCTTTATGTCTTTTTTTCATGTGAGACGTAGATGACTCTTCAATTAAGTTAATATTCTTTGTGCAATTCAAATATGAAAAATATGCTGAACTACTGATCAAAAGAAAGTATACATCGAGTTGGACTGCTCATAATTATTCAATCATTTATTTTTACAACAAGCCAGAAGACCAGTTAATTTCACTGAATTCACAAAAAGCTTTCTAACTCATCTGGTGTCAGAACTGTCACTGTTAACAAAAACAAACATATGATAAAAGTCGGATAACAAAACATGACGCCTCATCGATGGCATATGATTTGAATTTATCATATAATAGTACAATTAGCACCAATGTGAATTGGAAATCGTTCGACACATTTTGACACTGGGGAACTTTACATCGCTCATCCCAAAAGTGTGTATTTTGATGAGACAGTTCATAACCATTCAGCCCAGTTTAGATCACCATTTGAAGCAGTAGAAAATATACTAGCATATGGTCATCAACATCTTTATTTCCCATTTCTCTTCTAAACGTATATAAGTCGGAGTCTTTTTTACTCATCAACCTATCCATACGTTCCCAACAAACTACTTTAACAGGTTAATGCTGCTTTTAATACAGCCCCAATGTTAAGCAACATATTATTATCGAGTTGTGTGAGTCAAAGGTGTGATCGATCATGAACGCCCAGTAACCACAAAAGTAACTTTCTGTATTAGTTGTTTCCTCTTTCCTAGGAAGTGAACTTACATATAAAACCATTTCCATAATAATCTATTCCGAAATTACAAAAGTGTAAGGAAAACCTTTGAATATTTGAAAATCAACATGATACTAATTCAACTTTTCCCAAATACATTGTGTGAACGTAAGGAGAGCCCTTCTGTGGTTGTAAAAACGATTCTGGTAACCTTTGAGGCAGGGATTTGGTGGTACATTAGCTGGATGGTAGGGTTATATGGACCTATCCTCTTGTAACAATTGATACAGGCATGTACTTATCTTCTTTATTCACCTGCAATTATTTCTGATTCAAGACATTTTTTATTGTTCAGGGGGGTATGTCTATATACGAACCATTTGTAAATTTTCCCCATGCACTCGGAATTACTTCCTGCACACTACAGTAAATTCGGTGAGATACATGTATTTCATGTGAAATTACAAATGTAACCTTCTCACTTTTACGCGTGTTTTCTCCTAAATTTAGGTTACTACTTCCGTTGTACTTTAAATTTCTTTAATGAATCGTCATACATAATATCATCTTTCAAAACAAATATATTGGATAGAGACCTCAGAACAAACAGAGCAACATAATAACAACTGTCACGATCGTAGTGTGTTAGTACATGTACGTTATGTTGGCCATATATTGGTGATTGAATGCTAATTTTGACAAATTATGATAGTATGTTAAGTTTTGACATCTCTGTGGTAACATGTTGACATATGGGCACATCTGTGTGAGCATGCTGATATATGGACACATCTGTGTGAGCATGCCGATATATGGACACGTCTGTGTGAGCATGCTGATATATGGACACATCTGTGACAGCATGCTGATATATGGACACATCTGTGACAGCATGCCGATATATGGACACATCTGTGTGAGCATGCTGATATATGGACACATCTGTGACAGCATGCCGATATATGGACGCATCTGTGTGAGCATGCTGATATATGGACACATCTGTGACAGCATGCTGATATATGGACACATCTGTGACAGCATGCCGATATATGGACACATCTGTGTGAGCATGCCGATATATGGACACATCTGTGTGAGCATGCTGATATATGGACACATCTGTGTGAGCATGCTGATATATGGACACATCTGTGACAGCATGCTGATATATGGACACATCTGTGACAGCATGCCGATATATGGACACATCTGTGTGAGCATGCCGATATATGGACGCATCTCTGTGAGCATGCTGATATATGGACACATCTGTGTGAGCATGCCGATATATGGACACATCTGTGTGAGCATGCCGATATATGGACACATCTGTGTGAGCATGCTGATATATGGACACATCTGTGTGAGCATGCCGATATATGGACACATCTGTGTGAGCATGCTGATATATGGACACATCTGTGACAGCATGCTGATATATGGACACATCTGTGTGAGCATGCTGATATATGGACACATCTGTGTGAGCATCCTGATATATGGACGCATCTGTGACAGCATGCTGATATATGGACACATCTGTGACAGCATGCTGATATATGGACACATCTGTGGTAGTATGTTGATGTATGGACAAAACTGTGGCAGGAGGTTGATGTATGGACAAAGCTTTGGAAGTATGTCGATGCATGGACAAAGCTGTGGAAGTAAGTTGATGTATGGACAAAACTGTGGTAGTATGTTGATGTATGGACAAAACTGTGGTAGTAAGTTGATGTATGGACAAAACTGTCGTAGAATATTGATGTATGGACAAAACTGTGGTAGTATGTTGATGTATGGACAAAACTGTGGTAGTATGTTGATGTTTGGACAAAACTGGTAGTATTTTAATGTATGGACACATCTGTGGTAGTAAGTTGATGTATGGACAAAACTGTGGTAGTAAGTTGATGTATGGACAAACTTGTGGTAGTATGTTAATGTATGGACACATCGGTAGTAAGTTGATGTATGGACAAAACTGTGGTAGTAAGTTGATGTATGGTCAAAGGGGTGGTAATATGTTAACGTTGACAAGGATTTGGCCGGATGTTCATATACGGATACAACGGTGGAATTCTCTTGTGCAAGTTACTCCCTCTATCTAGAATTCTACACACTCAAAGAATCGGAGGCGGGTCCTCTCCCTTGCAATTTCCCAGGCCTTAGAGAATCCTCCCACCGCCAAGGATCCCTGAACCAGCAGAGAGATGAGCCCAACTACTATGATGATTGTCTGTAGACTGTCCGTCCATAACACTGTCTTCATCCCTCCCTATAAACACATGCAAATGTATATATACTTATGGGAATAGCACCGATGTGTTGACCCGACGTCGCAGTATATAATGTTTTCACTGTTTCCGAATATTTACTGTGGGAACTCGGGGGGAGTTTCAAACACATGCTTCACTTTTTAATCGTTCCTTGTCTTTCCACCAGACAATTCGAGTTAAATGAGCTTATTTATTAGGAAACATTAGGTGAGAATGCGATATATCAAAACATCAATGATGGATATTTGTTTCAAGATGAATTCATATGTAACATTTTAGAATGTACACCATCAAAAAAACAAAAACCGGATGTGTGACATTGTAACTGTATAATATACACTTATATTATATCCCTAGAAATCCTAATGTACAAATAATATGTTATTCAAAACTGGAAGTAACGGCTGGTGTCTGATATCCACATTCTTCATTATATTGTTCTTGCTTGGCGTAAAACATCAGTAAATGGGTTACAAGGTACCAGGTTTGTCACTTTCAGGAAATAGTTGTGAAGGGGCTTCTTAAACTATTGATGCATGTAATGCTATTACTTTTCTAGTTAATCCAACGTTTAATATGTTTATCGGGTCGTCCTACGCACCTATTCTGACCTCGATTAATTTATTAATAACCCTACCAGAGCTGTGTAGAAGGTCACTATTATTCCAACAGAAGAGATTGACAGCCGTAAGTCCAGACCAGTTACTGAAACAAAACTTCATTTATGTTGCCTGATAAATAGAGGTTATCATGCGAGTGTGTTTGGGAATGGTAAATATCCTGCATTAGGAATAAACATTGTATTTAACGAGCCTTGGCGAGCTAAATACATAGTGTTTATTCCTAATACAGGATATTTACTATCCCCAAACACACAAGCGTGATAACCTCTTTATCATATAATGTCATTCTTTAATTCTGTGCTTCAAAATCGCTTTCCCTCTCTAACAAACATTACCGAAACCTTGCGAGTTTTCCTGGAATGCGCGCATTGACATTTATTACGTCACAGGGTAAGTGATGTGTCAGTCGGACAGTGACAGTAGCCAATATAGTTCCAACTGAAATCTGTTTCTAATACAGTGGCGAAGCTACATATACGCAAAACAACAATTGTTTTTAATTGCCTTTTGCGGCAATCCATCGGTCTGTCCGCTAGAGTAACTGCCCTTTGTCAAAGGGGAGCTACTCTAACCCTAGTCTTAGAGACGTCACGGCCACGCTCAGACGTTGTTGACAGTCGGCCTGTCCTGTCATAACGTGAAGAAGTGTAGTCAGATGTACACACAGCGACAAAACGAAACAAGGTAACAATTCAAACATATTTCGGCCGAATCCAACTATTTTAATTTGTGGAGAAGGTTTCAAGCCGCAGAGGTCTACAAGCACATATATGGCTACTTGGCAAGGCCTCGTGCCTTCGTAAATATTGTTTCGAAATTTATATCTCCAAAGTTGCCAAAACTTATAAAATGTCTTTGCTACGTCACAGTTAGACACTGATTTTCAGTATATTAGACTGTTCTTTTGGTAATGATAGCAATTATCCCTGTAGTGTATCCAGATTCCCGATGGTTAATTCTTACTCGAACGCCGAATGACGAGGGCGACGCCATGTTTGTTTATAAACAGTAAAAAAAGTAGTCCCTACTTGACCTTTGATATTTGCATCTCTATCCGCATATGACCCTAACGGATATCGTTTTTATCCGATGGCATTATCCTGCCGAGAAACCTACCCACTATATGATAATGGTATATCTGACGTGTCGTTAAGTACTGTCACAATGCCAGGTACATGGTAAAATGTAAGAAAAGAACACGTACGTGTACGACATGGGCCCCTCATAAAGTATAAATTTTGAAGAATTATCTCTTAAATAAAGCAGATCATATGGTTACAGTAGAGGTGTACATTGGTTCGCCTGTTAATACCTTTGAACGTATATTATGATTGTATTGTTTTGTTCATATGTTCCAGAACAACTATTAAAGTGGAATCCATTACCGTTTAGGTGTCAGTACATATCATAGACAGACAAGTCCTAGAATGGCATTTAGACGTGATACACATAAGGGAGAGAATGTATGGATGTCAACTTCTTTATTATGAGGAAACACAACATTTCGGAGTATGTGCTTACTCCTTCATAAGGTTAATGAATGCTATGAGGCAGAGGGCATATATATGTTAATTCCAAATCATAATTGAAACTATACTCAGGAAATAAAGGTGACATTGCCAGAGAAAATTTAGAGCTAATTGAGGAAGATTTCATCAAATTAAAACAAATTGAAACATGACATCACTATGATCGCGAGTCACAATTTGAACGTCACATAACGGTGAAACGTTACTATGCTGTGACACCACAGTGGAACGTTTCTGCCTTGCATCAATCACATTATGTCGTGGCGCTGATGAATAAAAATATGTTTTACAAGTTAATAACACAAAGTGTCAATGCATGAGAATAATCAGTTTAAATTCCCCGTCGAAACAGATTTCCATTGGCCTAAAGGGCAAAGTAGTTGTGAAAATGTATTCAAATAATTTTCTTGCATTGACAATTCATTTTACACTTAAGCCTTAAACTAAAATTATGCCAATCGACAAAAGGGTAGATAAGGAAATCAATATCAATATGAGTAGTAGATTACCTGAATAAAGCGCCAGTGATGGGGCAAAAAGAACAAAGGCCATGTACATCAGCTGAAACAAAACAACTTCAGTACATAGCAACCCATGAACTGAATGATAAGCTGTTCAACGATCAGCCAACTATTCTTTAAACAGGTATATATGTTTAAGGTTTTTTCTCCATCGGAGTATGATATCTGTACGGTGGCACAATGTATGATACAAGTCTCAGCCCCCTTGAAACCGCCGATTATGTTTCTAGGTTTGGGCTTTCCTACCACATTAAGCTGCCACGCCGTAACTGGAATACTGTTAAAAGCAGCGTTAAACCCAACTCACGCACTCAATCATTGAAAAGCCGGGTTAGAATTGTTCTTCAGCAACCTATGCGTGTAAGAGGCCACTAACCAGATCGGGTGGTCAGGCTCGCTGACTTGGGTTGTTGATGCATTTCGTCGCATCCCAAATGCGTAAATAAATGTTTATGATGTCAATCACTGGCTTGCTGGACCAAACTCGATTATTTTCAGACAGCCGTCATACAGCTGAATTATTGCTGGGTGCAGCGATAAACAGTAAACACACAAAGGTAGTATGATTAAACCTATTCACAAGACTTCAATAGTCAACGGGTGACATCGATGGGGGAGGACGCACTCACTTTTTCGCGAACACCTGCCGTCCTCACTATTTGATAGTAATTCATAAACACATGTTTATAATATAGTCAAACTATTGACGCTTCTATTTGTAGGTATTTCTTACGATTATGGAAAAGGTTTATTCACTTCCATTAGTATGATTAAACCTATTCACAAGACTGCATCAAAGTCGAGACTGCATCGAGTGATGACTTCAATAGTCAACATTATCTCTATGTCAAGAAATATTCCAGCCTTTGGTTTCCACATTTCACTACTTTTCAGGTACAATGGAGTATGCTCTTTCTACGAAGATTTCTACGAGTGTCACACGGATCTTACTGAAAAGTTGTTTGATCAGGTTAACAACATGTAAGATCTCCGTAAAGGTTTCAATACCTCTTTATGGTAGACGTGTTCCCGTATTTTTTCAAGTGAGCAGTTGACATCCTTTTTCATGTGTTCGTGACGGGTGACATCGATGGGGCAGGACGCGCTTACTTTTTTGCGAACACCTGCCGTCATCACTATTTGATAGTAATTCATAAACACATGCTTATAATATCGTCAAAATATTGACGCTTGTATTTGTAGATATTTCTTACGATTATGGAAATGGTTTATTCACTTTCATTAGGGACTATGCATTTTTGGTGATTGTGCACATCTGATATTAATCTTAGTCTTAGTACAACCGAGACGGACGAAAATCACGGACGAGAGTCCATGACAGCTCTGAAATTGTCTTTGGCTTATTTGAGTTAGCATGATGCTACTTTATACATGTGCATATACAATTAAATGTTTTACCACTTGAACAATCCAGTTAAGAGATGCCAGTATCCGAACTCGCTTCCCAAATCTCAGTTCGAGGTACTGTAATTGAAAATAGACACAACATAACGAAAGACATCACTGATTGAACACGTACAAAAAACATAAATTTTATTGATGTATACGTTTGTTTAAGTGAGTTAAAACTTTACGTCGCATCGGCATTATTGCAGCCATATAGCGACCATTTATATTAAAGTTTACTAATATACACATTTTTACTTACACACAACTACCAATCCACCACCACATCTCCCTATTTTAAAACTTGGATTCATAATTGTAGCAACTACATATGATCAGGCATTGTGACTTGGTGGGTTGCTCCTGGGTTATTGTATCCCGATAGCATAGGATGTTGCTGACAATCAAAAACAAATGACTGCTGTGATATAGCTTGAATTTTGCAAACTGAAGCTCACAAAACCATCAAACATCAAACAAGGTGTTGACAAACTCCAATCGGGTTGAGTTATATTCTCGTACTCAGGAACGCAGTTCCGAAAAGTCAATAATAAGACGACAGGGACACCCGTGCCCGCAACAATACAGTCACACATCAGTAAGTATAGGTATAATAACGTGCATATTTGTACTGCGCCAAATCCAAACCTTGAAGCATGTTCAAAGAGTAACACATTATTTTATACCCCAGTCAAAGGATAAGCATGCACTCAAATTTTGTTCTCATGATCAGCTCCCTGAAGTACAACCCAAGCTGCCTTATGGGGCTCGAGAATGTGAACAGTCACATTACCAGCTTTTCCTCATCGGTGACCACTCAATGTTGGGTCCACAGTGGCTTATTTCGAACAAAGTTCACTTGTCAATGTTTTTCAGTGACCGAATCCCTAGAAATTCTTCAAGCTTGCCGAACACAGCCACCTACTATCCTCGACCAACGTTGCGTTACCTTACTTTATGTAATGTGTACAATATACAGGACCACGTACCACCAAATGGGTATCAGAGGAAATACATGGAAGTTATTACACCATAGCTATACAAATAGCCATGCTTTTGTTGCTTATCAGGGTGAACAGTCAGATATATACCAAGGTGTCGGACAAGGAAGAGTTCTCTCTGCTTGGTTCTTCTTAGTCATCATTAATGACAGCCCTTAGACAAGCAAATAGTGGTATTTGTGTATTTGGTCTAGATATTCCAACTGTTTTGGTTGCAGACGACACAACTCTTGTGAGCACCTCGCCACGAGGGCTTCAAAAAGCACTTTATACAGTACATTCATATGCCTCAAAGTGGCGACTAACGTATAACCCTTCAAAAAGTAATGTTGTTCTCTTCTCTAAGACAAAACAAAAGGGGTTAGATATTAACTGCAAACTTGGTGATATAAATATAACAACCTCTGACTCTGTCATGTATGGTGGCATACTACTAACGCATAACCTGTCATGTAAATCAAGTATTGAAAAATGTTGCCAAAAAGCAAGACAAAGTATCAATTCGTTAAAATCTGTGGGACTCAACAGTTCTGAGCTACATCCAGCTACCAGTGTAAAAGTCTGGTTAAGAATGATATTAAAAACAAGTTTTTACGGCTGCGAACTGCTCTTTGATATTAAGGGTCAAAACATTAATAACATTGAACATACTCAACGCTATTTCGCGCGAACTGTAAAAGGTCTCCATCAGAATCCACTATTGCTTATCTTGGGCTTTGGACAACGATCGGCTATATCGATAAGTGTAAATTAAACTTCAGCTGCTTGGCCGCTTATGTAACTTAACCTGTAACAATTTTTTTGTGCATACATTGCAAATCCAACTAATCCTAAATCTGTATGTGGAGATTTATTATCAGTTCTTAACAAGTATAACCTAGGAAACAACCTTTGTACATATGTAAGCTGTGGTGTATTTCCTACAAAGAGAAACTGGAAGAAACTGGTTAATAAAACCAATCATAAATATGAAGAAAATATGTGGTGCAGACAAGTTTCTGTCAATACAGGTCTTTCACGCTTCATGCTAATACACACAAAGCTTACTCACCATATAGTATGGCAACTAGCATATCTGTACACAGAACAGAGGCCAAGTTTAAAATTTTGTGTTATAGTTTCATCACGAAACAAAACTGCTAGGGACGGTTTATTGTGTAACAAGCATGCCTTTGATTATGATAATCACATCATATTACATTGTGAAGCTCTACTGCAGGAAAGAAATTAACTGTTTTCAACTTTTATGAATCTGCTTGATGTTAAAACCTATGTCCAGTTGGAATTACAAGGTGAAGAAGATATGTTGTCATTTTTCTTTGGTGCTGATACTCACTTCTCACAATGTATTGATATAGTTACATGGGAATCTGTTATACTGATATTTTCTGCTTATGTACTTACACTAAAGCCTTACCTTGATTATGTCATCTGATCTAATCTTTTGTACTGTGTGAATGGCATAACACTGGTGCTACTGTCTTGTATTGTATATATGTACAGGTAATATGAGTTTGTGTGAATACGTTTGATTAATTGTATAATCTTCGGATTAACTTCTGGAGGAAATAAAGAATCTCTCTCTCTCTACCACTTGTTTGATCACACGTCATTGCATCACCCAGTGCCATACGAGCTATACACATTGGGATATACATTACATGATCACATCTCATCCATAGCCTTCCAATGATGTGAAGTTTGCCCGATCCTATTCTATTGTAAAGTTCAAACCGATGGCCATTCCGAATTTGTCCCGCTCTGCGTTGGCAAACCCTGAATAACAACAATATGTAATCGATGCGGGTGGGATTCTGTGAAAGTTAATATAAGTAGCTTCCTACCTCATAGACGCTGGTTACCCCAAGCCTGTACAGGAAGGGCAGAAAGAGATGCGCTGCTCCGGCCACGGCCATTACCATGCCGAGGGCAACCCACCAAAACATCGTGTCGTAGTTGTAGACTTCGGCAGGCATCCCAAGCAACGTCAACGCTGACATAAAGGACACCGTCACCGACAAAGCTACAGGGATAGTGCCCATCTGACGGTTTCCAACCAGAAACTCTGACGGGCTGTTTTTCTTCCTGTCCTTGATCGCATGGTAGAGGCCAATCCCGGCAGGGATGAGAAGTGTACCTCCAAACACAACATAGTCCTCCCATTTGAGGGTGTTCTTTGTTCTGCTGTTGAAACTGTAGCGCTCCGTCATTGTCGTCCCTGCTAAGAAATTTAAATATAACTTTCATCGTGATTTTCTGATTACAATACAAGCATTATGCCGTGTATGCTAGTATGCTATGTCGTTCAGGTACAATGCACATGACATACAAACCGTCACGAATGTGTCCTGACAATAAATAAAAGCAACAAACGCCATGCCCAATTAGAAATCCCCACTAACCTGTCCAGTATACGATTCCAGAATATCTTACATGTAAGCATGTGTTGATAAAACATATAGTGGTGATACCAGGTGTTCACGAACAGGGCAGCCGAAATTGCCCAACCAGTAGCACCCGTCCAAAACTCATGCAAAGGCAAGTCAATTGTTCACTTAAACTCACGATGTTTTAAGCTAAATATGAAGAATACGGATGTTTTTTAATTTCAAATGTGATGTTGTTGATCCGTTAGACTGTGATATCTGTGGGACATGCAAGACATTTTTTACCAAGACAAAGATGATAAACAAGTTAAACAGAGACGAATGGTACGGTCAGGAGAAAACACATAAACCGTCGGTCAAAAAGAAGCTCTGAAGGAATTGGATTTCTGATGAAGAATGATATACAGCACAGAGAAACTAAATGATAATAATACTGAAGGTTGTTTACGGATTAACATGATAAAGTAAATCCCTAAATAATCTTGTGCGTCTCCAATCTGCCACCGATAGGTACAAGTTTGCTTGTTTGTTGTTTAACCCCGAATCTGCACGGGGGTAAATGGTCCACGTAGAATGGTTAATGAACAGTTCTAGAAAGACCTACAACATCTGTTATATACCTACCACAACAATGGAATGATATCCCAATGTGAGGCACTCTGGATAGTGTTCTGAATTTCAGTGGATATTCCATGAATGATTTCATGACTTGAAGTGGTATGTGAATGTTAAATAGGAGCGTTGGAAGTTAAGATAATACATATACACAGAGAAAGAAGTTAAGCACACCCTAATATATTTCATTATTGTTTGGTCCCAATATTTGTAACAGTCATGAAAGCGCATGTGCCATGCATGGTATGCCCGTGCAGCATGCTACCCTCGAGGAGCTCTAAAAGCAGTATATCCAAACGTTAGAATTCCTTTCTTAAGCTCGGTTTCAAACAGTTATTCCATTACATAGTGTGCCAATGGAACCAAGGCGATTATCAAACGCCACAAGATGGCAAATAATCGGCATGCATAACGCATGTCTTGTAATGCCATTGGTAGAATTTGGGGTATCATCACACTGTCGTAAGCCGTTTTGTCGAGAAACATACTCAGAACGGTGATGTACAGGACCGTCCCAGATCCGGAAGACCTTATGTGACGACACGTCGCGAAGACAGGGACCTTCTTCGTCTCATACGCCGAGAACCCTTTTTAACAAGTACTCGTCTGAAACAGCTGTGGTTGCCCAATTGTCGTTTCAGCACTAGAACCATCAGGAACAGGCTGAAAGCAGCAGAACTGAGGGCTGGACGAGTCATAAAGCGTCCCTTGTTGAAAGATCGCCACAAAGCTGCTCGTTTAGCATTGTGTATTGCGCGACAGAACTGGAATCTTAGAACTGGGAGAAAAAAGTAAAGCACACCCTTATTTCTGTACCATGACAAATGGCAAAAATCATGGCATGGGATGACAGACCACAGGAGCTGGGCGATACCAATGTCATCGGATAGAACAAACTTTTGACAACAAATAAAGAAGATATTGGTGAGTTGTGATTGAAATTCACTGGCAAAAACATCATGGTTACACAGGTACTGTATTTGACCTAAGACAATTCTTCAAAAAAGTATGGAGCTGCAGGATTAAGGAAACGAGTTACGTCTGAAAAAGTTCCTTAAAGTCTCTTTATCACATCTACAGATCAGTAGCGGGTATAACCGCCACGTGCCCGGATGACGCATTCTACCCTACGTCTCATGCCTCCAGTCAGACGTTGGATCTGTTGATGGGTCAACAACAACCACTCCTGATGCAATGCTGCTTCCAATGGACGTAAATCTGGTACAGGAGGATCTCGTGCCTGTATGTCCGCCCCAGAATATCCCAAACATGTTCAAGGGGGTTCAAATGTGCGCTCATTGCTGGCAAGGTTAGAGTCAGTCGTTATTGCATTGGCCCTCATGTAATCCACGACTGCATGCGAACGATGAGGCCTGGCGTTGTCATCTATGTACTGAGGTCGAGTAGCAAGAGTGTGGTTGTCATAATGAACGACGACTGGCCTCAAAACGTCCCGGATGTACTGAGACCCTATTAAGTTGCCCCTTATGGTGACCAGACATCTCGCCATCGCAGTTGAGGCCATAAGCTGTGTTGACGACACCAATGCAGTTGCTGACGATGTTGTCGACTCAATATGACGCGTCGAACAGGACGTCTTGCTCGTAGACCTGCTGCTCTTAAACGATTTCGCACGGTCTGATCGGAGAGTCTGTGCTGTCCGGGTATTTGGGATGTGGTTGGGGTGGCTGTGGTCGTCCTTTCACTTAGGTGGAGCAGTCGGATGAAGCGATCTTGGGCGGGAGTGGTTACTCTACTCTTGGTCGCCCCGACCTTTGCCGATGACGTGTTGACCCAAGCTGTTTAAACCGATCCCACAACCTTTAGATGGGGCTGGCCGCTACATTGAAAACCCTGGGAAAAGCCGATCGGGCTTATCCTGCCTGCAAGTCCGGCCTATGACGTTGTTTCGTTGAACTTCTATTAATCTTGGCATGTTGTTGAACTGTCACTTTTCGATAGAGGCAGATGCCAGGCAATCATAATCCCTGCACTTTAATACCGTTCATAGTGCTGATTCACGTTGAGTGCGTGCATCCCCATGGCCCTTTTGTTAATGCACTGGGTGCGTTTTGTCTGAATTGTACGTGTTTCCCGACTAATTTTTTGCATGTTCTTGTTGTGATCATTTTGATCCGCGAAATTTGTCACTCACACTATAACACATTAAACCTCTTCATTGTGCAAATCTTGGTCCGCTAATATAATGTTGCTTTTATAGCCAAAAATATCCGTATTGCGTTTCCCATTTTGAAGAGTATATCTAAATATAACCCTCAAATAAAATGTAAAATGTCACAATTAACGCACATCATTTTGACATATTATTACCCTAAACCGCCTTACGTGACCGTGATGTGAATGTATACAGAATTTACCAACTAAAATGGCAGAGTTATCAGTAAAGTACTTTGGAAACAAAATTGAAAGTACTTGCTGAAAGTGACAATCAGTGAACAGCTTAGAAGCGAGATTCACTTCATCACATTCAGAATCAAATACTAGTACACTTCCAGTGTAATGTTTAACCAAACCATGAACACAGGTATTACGTCTTGAGATAAACTTTGATATGCGGGTGTCTCACCTTGACAGAGTAAAATCCTTGTATTCACCGCTCGGAAGCCTGCTGGTCAACTGAATGGGAAGCACGTTTAACTGGCGCCGAATCACGTGACTATAGTGTCCCAGTGTTACACACTGCGGGCGCTGATAGTCGACATGGTTTTGATAGATGATGGCTGCAGTAGTTGTGTCGGAGGTATTTGGGACCTAATGATCATATGCTCCACTCATTTTTATGAACCTTACATATGCATAGTCGATGGTGTAAACTTGAACTTAATGTAGGGAGATGAGTCAGTGAGTGAGTTGCCTTTAACGACATTTTAAATAGTCTGCCAGCTTAAGAAAGGAGGAAGTAATACAGATATTAGACGTTTGCTTGGCATGTTTTTAGTACGAGTTACTGTTGTGTTTGGTTGCGTTTGTTCGGCGTCTGTGTGCCATTTCAATCTACAATGAAGAGTTCTCTCGCTTCATGTTGGTTCACAAGTTGTACAGTTCTATCTGTTAAGATCACAATGACATTTTAATGCGGTTTGACTGTATGTATGGGTTGTGTGCTGAGAGTGAGTGAGTGAGTGGTTGAATTGTAAGTGATTATGAGAGTAGAGTTATGTAAGATGGTTGAAGTGAGTGGATTGGCTTGCATGTTTTGCTTGATTTGTACATGTGAGTGAGTTATATTATACTTTTACATCGCATCGGCAATATTGCAGCCATGTCGCGATGAGAACAAGTTTATTATTTTAAAATTCCTGTCTACAAATGACAGTAAAAAAGTAAGGTAAATATCATAGTTTAGAAATAAAACAAACCTGAACAATATTAAAAAAAAGAATTTTTCAGTCAATAGAAAATAAAACCAGGCTATAGATCACTGGCAACTACAGCTAGACCACCTACCTGGGGATCGTGGGGACTTACAGTGCTTTTGCTTCCTGCATGATTCCCAGCAGGATCTATGCAATCGCTTTGGTCGCGACTGCTTATACGCAATGTTTATCAATCAATCAAAAATCAAAGCAGCATCAAGGAATTAAAGCACTAGTTGATATTTATTATTTCAATATAGATGGACTCACGTGCCACGGGACAAAGATTTAACACAACTTTAACCCCCTGAGTGGCACCGTCTTCATAAATCTCAGTTGACAATAATATCCCATTATTCTAAAACAATTAAAAATTAATCAAGTAATACTTTTTCTTTTAAAAATAATGAGAATGAAATGAACACTGATATTATAAAACAGTTCCTTTAAAGCTGTTGAATTATAACAGTTATCACTTGTGAGAGAAAAATCAACACAGTCAAGCAAAACATGGTTGCCTGTGATTCTCTCATCACAAGGGACACAAAACGGAGGATCCTCATCTTTCAAGAAATACTCATTGGTGTAGCAACTATGTCCAATACGACACCATATCAGATCCAATGATAGTGGTACTTGAAACTTTGCCATCATCCTTGAAACCATCGGTAAAAATAGAGTGATGAGAACCATATTTTGACCTTAATTGGGCATATTCTTGTTGATAGACCAATTGATTTGTGTTAGCTTTTTTTAGGGTAGTTAGTGTTATGTCTACCTCCGGTTTGACTAGTTGCCAAGGAGGTGTAGACAGTAACCGGGAAGGTGAGATAGCAGAAAGATCAACATTAGCTGCGATAATATGTGGCGTAATTCTAAACCCTAGAGGTCGAACAAGTTTTGGTTTTGATTGAAATAATTGTTCATACATGGGATTAAACACACATGTACTGTCGAGGATGCTTTTTCTACCAAGATTTCCAAGAGCGTCATAAAACGTTTGCTCATATTCAAAGCCTCAGTAAAGCTTTCAAAAAGTGTTATGGTAGACACGATGAGGACATTTACAAATTTTACGCATCGGTGAGAAATATTATGTCCGATGCAATTCCCCATTTTGATTTGTACCATACGTTCCCGTTTTTTTTCAGGTGAACAGTTGACCTTCCTTTGCTTATGTTTGTGGCAAGTGCTACCTGTGGGGCAGGATACGCTCACCTTTTCGCGAACACCTGGTATCATCAGTTTGACAATGATTCATAAACACATGCACATGAATAGTCGGGACCGTGCAATCCACTCTGCTGTTAGCAGAGATTTCTATTGAATATGTGAAAGGTTTTGTCGCTTATATTTTCATGGTCACAGTCTCTTGTCAATCTGACTGCATTCCATTTTGGCTCCAAATGAAAGCAATGAATTGCAAAATAACTCAAATATTAAATGTCAATACGGTACACGACAATGAATACCCTGTACCCAATAGTATCTGCTGTTTGTTTTAATGTTGTTCAAGAAACTATCATGTTGTTATGTATACAAGTTGAAATCTTAAACGGAGGGGGGCAAAAGGGTAGGAGAAACAACGCAAACACGTACTTCACAGAAAAGCACTTTTCTAGCATTTCCAACAGTGTTTTAGTTGTGTATTCGGGTATTGAAGTACAGTAACGTTTCTGTTAGTATGAAACCTTGTCTTGGGGCGGTCGGGTAGCCTAGTGGTTAAAGCGTTCGCTCGTCACGCCGAAGACCCGGATTCGATTCCCGGCATGTGTGAAGCCCATTTTTGGTGTCCCCAGCCGTGATATTGCTGAATATTGCTAAACGAGGCATAAAACCATACTCACTCACTCAAACCTTGTGTTGCGTTAATCCTTGTATGGGTGCTGGACCCGTGAAGATTCCGGGGTAGAATAGATCTTCAGCAACCCATACGTTTCGTAAAAGGCGACTATGCTTGTCGTAAAAGGCGACTAACGGCATTGGCTGGTCAGGCTCGCTGACTTGGTTGATACATGTCATCGATCTCAATTGCGTTGATCGATGCTCATGATGGCAATCATTGGATTGTCTGGTCCAGACTCGATTATTTACAGACCTCCGTCATATAGCTGAAATATTGCTGAGTGCGGCGCTAAACAACAAACGGGGTGACGTTGATATTAATGTCGATATGAATGTAGGTTAATGACAAGCTACGGTCCTGTGACCCATCGCTTATCTGTGACATGAGTTGCAGAGCAGCATCACACTCAATGGCGACACGGAACGGCAATACGAAGTTAGCTGCTGAAGTCATTTACAACAATATCCACTGTGTCATGTACCAATGATTTTCTCCTCTTTGTCCTTACAGTTTTAGTATTTAAGTTTGTTTGCATATTTCAAACCATTTAAACAGGTTTTATCGTGCTTGAATTATCTTTCTGAGTAGGTGAACTGTACAATGAACGTGGGTGCATCGTAGGTGGACCTAGTTATGAGCCACTCAACAGTCGCATGTTTAGTTTGTGGTGCTGAAAATGCTCTTTGATATGAATAAGGACATAAAATCTCCTGTGTTTTATACTAATTGAAAGTCACAGTTGGCCCAGTCGTCGCAGTTCGCTTGGAGAAGATGCGCCCCTTAGGCGTTCTTATAACCATTGGTCATGAGATCGAATCTCAGATTCGCTCTGCTCGTGATTTAATGACACCCGAGCCTCGTTCTCGAATTTCAACGAAAATGTAACATCCTCTAAGAAGGAATTTAAAAACCAAAATGTATACATGCACGAGTGCAGTAATCTGTTTCTTATACAGCCTAAAATCTCACCATGTTCACATGGAATCGATAGATACGTGTTCAGTGGTGCATTAATACATAACATAACGAACATGAGTGACCTCATCCGGCTTACTGCTTAATACTCATACCTATTCCTTACAGTTTTAGTATTTAAGTTTGTTTGCATATTTCAAACCATTAAAATAGGTTTTATCGTGCTTGAAATATCTTTCTGAGTAGGTGAACTGTACAATGAACGTGGGTGCATCGTAGTTATGAGCCACTAAATAAGTCGCATCTTTAGTTTATGCTGCTGAAAATATGCTGTTTTATACTAATTGAAAGTCACAGGTGGCCCAGTCGTCGCAGTTCGCTTGGAGCAGATGCGCCCCTTAGGCGTTCTAGAAACCATTGGTCTTGAGATCGAATCCCAGATTCGCTCTGCTCGTGATTTAATGACACCCGAGCCTCGTTCTCGAATTTCAACGAAAAGGTAACATCCTCAAAGAAGGAATTTAAAAATAAATGGTATACATGCACGGGTGCAGTAATTTGTTTCTTATACAGCCTAAAATCGCACCATGTTCACATGGAATCGATAGATACGTTTTCAGTGGTGCATTATTAATAGCATAACGAACATGAGTGACCTCATCCGGCTTACTGCTTAATAGTCCTTACAGTTTTAGTATTTAAGTTTGTTTGCATACTTTAAACCATTCAAATAGGTTTCATCGTGTTTGAAGTATCTTTCTGAGTAGGTGAACTGTACAATGAACGTAGGTGCATCGAAGGATAATAACCTAGTAATGGGACACAAAACAGTCATGTCTTTTATGTACATGATATATGTACACACATGGTCCTGATAATTCTCTACACACGTTTGAATAAGGATATAAAATCTACTGTGTTTCTTGATTTTGATTACACCCTAGCCATGTTCTCGGGTTTCAAGGAAAGGGTAACTATCTACAACCTGCATCTTTATATGGTTTCTTCCAACCTCCAGTTGACACACTGTTAAACTGAAATACTCTTCAAAGTGGTATAAAACCTCCATCTCTCTCAACTTAGCATCAAGGGAGGAAATCGTGTTAGATTCACGTCATGTCACTCGACTCATCGTATTCATCTTTACCGTCATGATAGCAATCCTAAACCATCTGATGTCAAGTACACGTACGTGTCATCCTTGATATGTTTTTTATTTTATTGATCTCAAAAACTCAAAACATTTTCAATAAGCATATTAAAAGCAAAGGAAGGAATTTCCGCGAGAGAAGACGTGCACCATGTCGATTTAACATGGTGCATTGTTTAGTGTTTATCAGAATGATTAAAAAGAAACATTTCAAACAATTTCATTAAATTTGAAAATAAGAAGTGTATAAATTACTTGCAATGTTGATTCATCTGTTACCAAATAATGTGTTTTCAACACATTCATTGACCAATGTATGAGTCATCATGTAAATTAATTTTATAGTGTAATAGATGTTAGGTAAGCATTACGTGTCTAATATAGATATATTCCTTGACATACGAAGAACAATTGCTGAGAAGATAAGTTTATCATTATCAGCTGAAGCACGATACGCGTATCAAGGAATTACAATCAGGAAATCAGTGACCTTGCGTGAGTGAGTGAGCGAGCGAGCGAGTGAGTATGGTTTAACGCCGCTTTTAGCAATATTCCAGCAATTTCACGGCGGGTGACACCAGAAATGGGCTTCAC